TGCGGCGGGCGGCTTGCTGCTCGCGGCGATGGCGAAAAACTCGTCTCGCTGCACACCAAGGGCTTATGCTCTGGCGAGATGTGAGGCGCATGCGCCCAGGAGGGGAGGGAGCATGCGTAACGACGCTGCTAGAGATGCCTTTCGGGGCCCAGAGATAAAACTTCTGATGCCATGCGTGACCTAGTAGTGTTCCCAGCTATGGGCGTGTCCACGTTGGAGCCAGGTGTGGTGTGGGCGCGAGAATAGCTCCGCCGTTAATGGAGGCAACCGATGCGAGTCGACTGGTGTGTGTCGTCGTGGTTTCGTATCAAGAATACTCACTCACACACGCGGCTGGTGGGTGGGGACGCGAGACCGAAGACGACGACACGCTCGAGCAACACACAGACACACACAAGCTCACAAGACACTCAGTATGTATGTATGTAGGAAGGTGAAGAACAATCAGGCTCGGACTGGACACCAACGCGGTATGGGTGGACGCGAGACAGATGCAGGACAGATGACGGCGACACGCTCGAGCGACACACAGACACACACAAGCTCACAAGACACACATGTCATCCAGCTGGGCTGCCACACACCCCGAGTGGGCGTACACATCACTCTTGGCCACGTGCCACGTCCCCCCTGTCGCCCCCCCCAGCACCCACGGTGCCAAGGGCTCAAACAACAGCAAGCACACAAACACAGACAGGCGACACGGGGTAACGTGTGAGGCTAGAGCAGACTGCTCCGCCTCTAGCAATCTCGCCGGCCGCAGGGCACGGACAAGACCATGTGTGGGGTCGTGTGAGGTGTCCCGTACCATGCGGAATCGACCCAATCCAGTGCACAGTGCTCAAGAAGAAAACATCGGCCACTTGTTCGGACACCTCGCCGGCACCGCTCTTCTCTCGCCCCAGCGCCGCCACCAGCGCCGCCAGCTCTCGCGCCCGCCAACTCGTTCCAATTCTCGCGCCGCCGCCAGCTCTGCTGCTCTCTCGAGGAACGGTGCCAGTCTAGCCCATGCTACCTGGCTTGATCCTGGCTGCTGCGGCCACCCGTGGCCTCTGCGGTCCGTCCAGCCTCGCAGCCAGAGCGCCGTGCCCTCGCCGCCAGCTGCTGTCCTACGTCGCCTTCACCGCCGGCCGAGGTGCGGCACCGACGCCCATCCACGCGCTCGTGGCCGATGTGTGGCAGCCAGTCGGACATTTGGCTGCTGGGACGCCGGAGGCGGCTGACGGGAGCGTGGCTGCGCTTGTCCGCGCCGCAACGCTCCAGCGGCGGCTCATCGCGGAGCACGCCTGCCGCCTCTACCCGCCGCTCCGCACAGAGAAGAGGGAGCACGGGCTGATGCGGGGCGTCCGTCTCGCCATCGAGGCGCCTCCTCCCTCGGCTGGCGGAGCGGCGACCTACCTTCCGCTCCCCGACTGTGAGCTTGGAGAGGCGACGCCGGCAGAGATGCTGCGCTGCGGCTTTGCAGGCGCTCCTGGCTCCGGCGGCGGCATCTACGCCGACTATGCAAGACGAGACTCCCCGCCCTACGACCGGCTGGCGGTGCGGCGGCGCCTCGCGGAGCAGACCAAGGCGGTGGAGGAGGAGGGAGGGACTGCCTCCGCCTTTACGCTGGTCGCATGGCCGCGCTGCGGCTTCTGCACCAAGGC